TTTCCTAATATCCAGAAAAACATGTAGAACTTTATCTCGATTTCATCACAGGAAAGCATATATTTTAAGAAAATATCCGAGAGCAGATAACCTATGTATATTTTCTATAAATTGTGACTTAATATCCGAGCATTTTTGTAAAATAGTTTCAGTAGATGGTATCGCAGTTTTCTCATTTCCCGTTGAGAAAGATCGTGTCGCTAAATTCTAAAGTCATAGTGGATTAAACAGCTTACTAGTTTTAAAACAGTGATGACAGTACTTTACTTTTTATATTCACCATTTTCCACAACTGTGAATTGCTCTTCATAGTTCATGATTTAAGAGATCTCGATTGCTTTTAGTAGGTAGTTCTATTGTAATACTAAAAATACATACATTAATCATTATAAATACCTAAATAATTCACATAAGCCCTTAATATTTACAAATCACCGTAAAATAAGTCAATCAATGTTTATTTTCTGGCATAAAATTAGAATCATTACTTTTTTGTCCAGTTTCTACCTTTTTTTTATATATACCTAGTTTAATTTTAAATAATAGTTTTTTTTAAGATGTTATTAGGTATTTCAAAGTAAATTTTGTTGGAATAGAATTGCTAGCGTCATCTGCAGCTTTTATACTGAAGTTTTACCGCAGATATCCATGGATTTAAATTATTAATTAGTTAATCATCAGATAGATGGCGTTGTGCTTTATTAAAAACTGCAAAACTCCATTTTTTATCCAATTTACAAAATATTGGAATATTGGTGAATTGGAATAGTAGACTAATAATAAAACGAAAAAATATACCTATATTGTTGTTCTTGTTCTAAGCCCATCTTGCACACTGGGGAATAAGCTTCTTAATTTTAAAGATATTGGGGACAAAATCTTTCACAGGTACATTTATTCTTTAATTCATTTTGTTCAGGAAATAACGTTAAAATCCTGGCATAAGTTAATAAAAAACATATTTTTTTTCTGTTTAAATAAAATGGAAAAAGAATGGATGAACCAAGATATTTATATTTAAGGCATTTCTTTATAAGCTTACCAGAACATACTTATGTAACCAGAGCATTTCTTTATAAGGATTGGTTACTCTGCTTTGGTTACATGTTACCAAAGCATAGGTATGTAGCTACATCTAACAAGGCATTTATTTATAAGTTTATTAGAACATACATATAATAAAAAATCAAAAAATCAAAACATCCTAAAATTTCTAAAATTCAAATTCCATTTAGAAATCCCCAAACTTAAATTAAATTTGACATAGGACATATAATAGGGTTACCACAGTAACCACAATCAGAGAACACTAACCAGAATACTGTAACCAAGTGTAGGTATGTTGTAGTCAAAGAGAAGGTTGCAGTAATGAAGAAATGTCTTTAAACTGTACCTACATCCAATTTTCTATAATAAAATATTTCCAGTGGCAGACATTGTTAATGTTATACGAGAAAAATATTATTTGTTGGTGCACTTTCGCAACACCTCTGAGGTATTACTGTGACACGTTACAATTTTTTTAAGGGTTTAAGAAATTATCGCCGCGTTTGAGAATCCACATCGGATGCATTTTTTACATCTCGAGCGTTTTTTATCCACATCGGACACATCTGTCCCATTACATTTACGTATACTGAATCACGTAATCAAAGATTTACTACATTTCAGATGCATCCGATGTGAATTCTCAAATACAGGATGGTCCGTAATTAATGGCCCATAGCGTCAAATGTGACATTTGAAAAAGAAGTTGCACTTCGAAACATGTCATGTGTAGTGTTTTTAATTTTTTAATTTTTATTTTTTTAAAATAAAAGTTTTGTGAAAATCTACCAAATTTGGTTTTACTTATTTAAGCTAGTAAAGGCCGAAACAATAAATAATTGTTTATGAATTGTTGTTAAATTTGACAAAGGCTTTTATTTTTGGCAAGGAGTATGATGTTACATATTTATAATTATTTTAAATTTGAAATTGTATTATGGAAGGTGCCACATGAGCAATATGTGATGAAGAAGTTATTTTTTTGACGGAACCCTTCGTAATTTTGACAAAAAATAGTTATTTATGCAACAAGTGTATAAAGTTACTTTTTTGACGAATGTGGCAATCACATGAGTTAAAAAAGGGACTTTACACGCGAGTTACATACAATATTTTTTTCTACTACCGCATACATTATCCACTAATATTAACTCTATTCTTGGCAAGAACAGATTCACGAGTGAAAAATTTTTTTTAACATATTTGGTGTATATTTGAACAAAATAACGCAAAAAGAGAAAAACAAAATATTTATGCTTAGTTTTGATTTTACAGACCCCCACAGACCCCCACAGACCCCCAGGGCCGCCGAGAGCCAGGCCGGGCCCCAGGACAATTATCTGGATCGGGCCCCGTGACAAAAAAATCTTACATCAAAAACTGTTCCTCTTCTACTGAAACAGAAATTTTTCTTTAAAAAAAAAAGATCCTTAGCCGCAAAAAACTTCTCTAGGCTAAAACTTTTCCTCTGCTTTAATTTTAATTTAAACTTTACTTCCATCTTTCATCTTGTGTCGAATTTCTCATGCAGAACAAAAAAAACATGTTGTCGGGCCCCCTTTACAGCGCTGCCGGGCCCCTATTTAAGCCCGGGCCCCGGGAATTGGTCCCGGCTACCCCCCCCCTCTAGTCGGTCCCGCAGACCCCTATTTTTATGTATATTATCAGATACGGTGCCAGCTTTGCGGCAATATTGTTTCGTATCCTACGAGATACTACGCCTGGTTAAGGATACATAAGTTTAGTGTTCTCTCTGATTAAACTGTACACTAATGACATAGGCGGCACGTTAGGCAGTTTATCGGGCATATAACTCTAAACCTTTTTAGCAGGTAAGTCAATAATGACTCTTTTTGCATATTGTTTTATACTAAGAACTGTGGATATGGATACTGGTAACGTATGAATGTTTAATAATATATGCGCAGGACTTCAGGACGTGATAGCTCGTCCAAAAATATGAAAAAACGTTTCTATCCTCTAAAATGCACCATTTTCGAGATACACGGTGTTGGAAATTGAAAAAAAAAATTCTACGGCACTGGAAAAATTACGGTTTTGAGACGCCTATTTGAACCGCCAATGTTTTCTACACAATAAAGGTACTCTTGGTCATACGCTCTAAAGTCGACCGTTTTCTAGAGAAATCAAATTTTGTTATATTTCCAAAAATTGACCATGTATTTCAACATTAAAATTTTTCTCTGAAACGGTCGACTTTTTGCGTCTCAAAACCGTACTTTCTCCAGTGGCGTAGAAATTTTTTTTTCAATTTCCACACCCTGTATCTCGAAAATGGTACATTTTAGAGTCAATAGTAACGTTTTTTCATATTTTTGGACGCGCTATCACGTCCTGAAGTCCTGCGCATATATTATGAAACGCCCTGTATATTTTGGTTTTGACCACAAATAATAGAAGTACGCGCCTTTAATTTCAAATAATTAACTTAAAATAATTCAAATAGGTAGGAAAACTCATATTTATACATAAAAATCAAACAAAATTTGTAATTTTATAAAAAAAGTTATAAATACAGAAAGTTGAAACAAAACTTAAACTACAATAAGAATAAAAAAAAAACGTAGCATTCATATGATATAAATTTATTGCAGAATAATAATCAAAATAGATAGAATCCTGAGTTCATTTACTAAAAATCAAACATAATTTCCATTCTATAAAATAAAATTAAAATCACAGAAAGTTTATGCAACCAGGTCTAACAAAAAATTTCAGTGCTTGGCCTACAAATAAAAATAATAATATAGTGTACGCCATTGAATTCCACGGGCGTGATTTTTTACCGAGTACTTGGTAGCGTGTCCCACCATATCAAAGTATGTGCACCAGATACAAATTTAATTTACTATGTATTTGGCAGTGTATCTCCTCAGAAACATAACATTTTAGACAGTCTCTACTTTTTTTATATTAGTATTTTACTAAGGTTTTCATGTAGTACAATAGTATTGATATATTTCTATATGTATGCGTACTCATATCTTATTATCGCGCCTAATTTCCAAAAAAATAAAATTTTATAAACACGTGTATTCACCATTTCTCAAAATGTTCGATTTTACCAACATGCATCTGTTTCAAATGACATATCTCGACTAAAATTGACGTAATTGACTTCAAACCTAAACGGCCGTTAATAGTACATACGGTGTTGCCAACATCATCCCCAAATTTAACGATTTACTACTTACAAAAAAATCGGGAAAATTGGTATTTTGAGAGATACAACGCCAAGAAAAAGGTTAAAAATATAACAGTTACTTTTTTTCACTAAAATATATTTTTATCACTTCTCGCACTAGTTAAATTTTGCCATCTCACGTAATTTATAATGTTCTAAGCATTAGAAACGTCATATCTATCTCTTCTAAACTATACTGAAGTTTCAGTAGATATCCATGAATTTTAGTCATGGAATTCCCCTACAAATTGGAAAGATGGCTTTTGCAACATTGAAAACCTGCAAAACTCTGTCCAATTTATAAACAAAAAATATAAATTGTAATTTTTCTTGTTCATGACCCATGTTGTACTCTGACGAATAACTTCCTGAAGTACTATGAAACAGGGATATCTTACGTTTCCCCATGTAGAAATTGTGAAGAAGAGGATGAAACATGAAACCCATATTTACATATTATGTCATAACTGAAACCTTAAATAGGAACGACAATGAGACTTCGTACAATATGAGAAACTCGAACAAATTGCAAATACATTTTTAAGTACATCAAGAATAATATAACCCGAGATTATAAGAAATTATGCAGTGTACTATAAACTTAGAGCTTGAATACGAAAGGGCTTTGAGCCATTCAGATAAATAATATATTACATACCTTAGCGCAGAAAAAAAAAACTAAATTCAGAATTATAAATTATTTATTTCTAATAGCAAAAATATTTTACAAAATCTTATTTCATATACTGTACAATCTTAGCTAAATATATTCTTATACGTACTCTAAAGGTACAAGTTGAGCAAAAGTTCACAAATTCATTTAACTATTTGGAGCCATTTACACGTTTTTATTTCTTTTTACCATAATTGATCCTTACAGGATATAGGAATTTGGCAAATGTAAAGGTAATGAACTTTAGGTTTATTGCAGAAGATTATACCTTATGGAAGGTTGAATATATAGATGAAGAAAGTAATTTATCTAAATGAACATTCTGGAAATTCTGTAAACTATTTAAAGTATTTAACAGTAGCTCTATCTGCTATAAATTACAACTGCTCTTTTTTTGGGAATAGAAATTGAATCACAGATTATTGTTCAGCAATACCTACGTCATATTGTAACAGTTGTGGAACTAATGTCTAATACATGATGATCCAACCAATATCCAAGCTAAACACCACATAAACATCAACAACACCAACAATAAGATAAAGTAAACAAGTATCGGTGTGTGATTTACTATAAAAGTTTGCAAAATAAATAACATATATATTACATAGTGGGACATTTGAATTTACCGCTGAAATGTCCCTTGTCACTAATACCACAGGCCTGTCACTCCCTATACTTCCCATGTTAAATTTCGGCTCAAATCTCAATGACCTCGTTACCTTTTCCCTATTGGTCTGGGGTATTTTTGACAAGTCTGGGGTCACCAATCAGCATGTTAGTTGCATGAGAAAAATTACATCTAAAAGTAAAAAATATTCAGGTTTTAAGCCACTTGAAGACAAAATTATTGTAATTATTAGAAAATTTATGTTTTTCTGGTTTTTAAAATAATGTTGACCTCGATGCCTTCTCCCTATTGGTCTGGAGTATTTTTGACAAGTCTGGTGTCACCAATCACAACATTAGTTGCTGTCACATGAGAAAAATGACATCCAGAAAATTGATTAGTATTTTTGCAGTTTTTTCATTGCAGACCTTCATGATGTAATTTTTATTAAAAAATACAGATCTATAGCAAAATTCGATTACAAATAAATGTTTAAACCAAAAAAAAGAAATTATAAGAAAGCTAGGTTATATTTAGATTAGATACATTTTACCCGCGTAAAATATTTTGAATTTTCAAGGTCACAGACTTTCAGATCGATTAACATTTAAGTGCGATCTCTTGTGTTAATTATACTCTTTGCTAATACAGTTCCGGCGGTATGTCAAATGTCACACTTGCGCAGAAGAGTCTGCTATTTATATAATGAATATTGTTATACTTTAATTGTTGTTTAATGTTGAATTAACATGTCTTCCAATCGCTTGCGCAGAAGAGTCTGCTCAAGTGTGACATTTGACATACCGCAGGAACTGTATGAGTGACAAGGGACGTTTCAGCGGTAAATTCAAATGTCCCACTATGTAATAATATATTCTTGTTATTCTTGATATCAAATACTAAGAATATCTCAAAGAAAGATCACTTTCATTAGAGAACCATGATCAACATGACTTACTCTGCTTAATTACAAATCAGGTTAGAACTTTAATAGGGTTATTTTCCCAGTAAATTTATGCTTTCCACTAAGTTTAGAATGTTTTGGTCATCTGACCAGACGATATAACATTAATTAACTATAGAAGAAAATTTAAATAAACAGAGACACATTACATAATTGATCTAGGACATACAGGCTTTTGTAAGGCACAAAGGTATTTAAGTGGGAAAAGGCCAGTATCTAAGAGTAAGGAAACTTATCCCCCAAAATTATTTTAAAAAATCTCACATATCAATGTAGCAGCTAATGTGTTAAGATCAATTTTAAAGAAAACTTTCTTAGGTATATTCTTCCTTAATAAACCATATCCTCTATTTCAAAGAAGAAATACTTTTACTATGCCATCGGTAAAGGTTCTTCAATGTTACCTAAAAACCATTAGAACAAGGTCTGTAAAAAGCATACTGTGTCCCCGTAATGTTTTAAGCATCAACCTATATTCTTCACTATAATTTAACGACAAATCCATGGACACAATCAGGCCTACACATATCTTTACTAACTTAAAATATCAATCAAAATTAGAGTATTTATCAGTCAACTGAAATGAAACCGTTTAAAATAATAAACACACACATATTTGTCACAAAATTTAAAAAAATGTTCGGACAAGTAGTGGCTCAAGTCCCGCCAGTCAAAACACAATTGTAATTAATAAAAATCTGACTGCCGGAGTGCATATTCACTTCCATTATTAATACATGTGGGTAGATCTCAATCAAAAAGAGAAAAATACCGTATTTTCCATACCCGCAATTTCAAAACTGTTCATAAATATTTTCCCTTTAAATTACAAAACAAAAATCTAAAAAATTATTTACAACAGAATTCTAAAAATTAAGACGTAAAAAATAAATAAAAAATATTTCTAATAATGAACACCGAAAATTAAAAAAAAACGAAACTATTTAAAACTAAGGAAACCTAGATTCTTTTACGTAGCGGGGATGAATGATGTTATGATAGGAACTAGACCTGGCGAAGTTATCTCCGTTTTGTCTAGAGTATCTTTCTTGCGGTGGAGAATATCTTCGGTTGGGATCGAATCTGGGACTCAATAAGTTGTCATTTCTATGTTCAGCTGGTGGGAGATTTGAGGTGTCAGCAGCTCTTGACCTGCGCCTAAAACAAAAAAAAATATTAGGTGTTCCACAAGGAACAATTCGATACCCCAAAATATACCTAATATATGCCAAATATATTGTTATATACAGGGTGAAGATATTCGATCTGTTTCGTTTTCGATGCCTGTATAAATATTATTAAGAGTAGTATTCGTTATCTTTAAAAATCTTCAATTAATCAGTATTCCAGAAGTTTATTTGACCATGGTACGTCCAAGTATTAGGTAAACAGACTTAGAGGGTGGGGGCGGTTCAAGTTTTTATTATTTTTGTTGATAAAGGGAGCGGGTCGGTATTATAAATCTTATTACGTAAGATAAAAATATTAAAAATAATTTAGTTTTTTAAATTTTAATTTTGACAAAAGTTTTCTTACATCTTATCATTTGGGGGAGGGGGTTCAGGAGTTTCTTATTTCGCTGGTTAAGAAGACAAATATTGTATGTCCATTTTTATCGAATATGGAATATATTGGATTCTATGTTCTTCATGATGAAATCTTTATGGATTCCAAATATAGTACGCCCACTTAGGGTCAACTGGGGTAATAGTAAACAAGGTGTTATTATAAACACGCCAATAACTTTTGAATTTGGCGGGTTATAGTTTCCTTCCAACATAGTGCAAGATGCCACCACGCATCTTCTATTCAGTCCCATGTCAACCGTGTAGCCTGTTGCATCGTTTTTTTTTTTGTTCATTTATGATATAGAAACGAAATATTTTGATTGTGAATTATAAATAAAAATTCAGTGTGATAACCGATTTTCAACTGGTAAGTTGATTTTCAAGACATATAGTTATTGTTAAGGGCATATTCAATGTTTTATGCATGCACAAATGTTAGGTTATAATGGTATAAGGTAAACAAACTCTTGAGGCAAATACGAACATGTACAAATATGTACTTTTATATATTTTCAGGTACAAATGATCCGAAATTATATAAGAAAAAAGCCTATTGCTCAGAGGTACTCTGAAGCAGATCTAATAAATGCAGTACATGATGTGGTTGACCACAATAAAAGCTATAGAGAAGCCCAGGCTACCTATAATGTACCCATTGCGGTAATTTATCATCGTATCAGGGGGAGGAAAAATCCATTGAAGGTGACGAGTGGTGGTCGTCATTCTGTGTTATCAGAAAATGTTGAGACGGCGATTGAGAATTGCTGAAAGCGCGTTCGCGCATATGTTGGCCTTGTGATCGCAAAGAATTATGCTCTTTAGTTGGACAGTATGTGACATCTAAGGGCTTAAAAACTCCCTTTAAAAATAACATACCTGAGTATGATTGGTATGCAAATTTTATGAAACGACATCCAACTTTAGCTTTCAGAAAATAAAAAAAAAAGATGCTAGAGATCCATTCATTGTATATGACTTTTACGAAAAACTACGCGAGTTGGTTCAAAAGTGTATGCTCATTGGCGACGATAAGGGATGTTTTATATTTAATGCTGATGAAAGTGGCTTCAACAGTGATCCTTTTAGAGTTCGGGCTATAGGTGAGAAGGGGGTACCGTTGTCTAGGGTATCATAATGATCAGGGAGAGAATGTACTACTGTCTTAGCATGCATTGCTGCAGATGGATCATTTTTACCTCAATTTATTGTGTTTAAAGGAGCTGCTGTCCAAGCCCGTTGGACTTTTAAAATTTTGTATCCTGGTACAATATATGGAGCACCTAAAAATAGATGGATGGAAGAGCTCCACTTCTATCAATGGTTCATGACCTTATTCATATCAAATGTTAACAGAGTGCGAAAAAAATGGGATGTGCCTGACCAGACTGCTCTTTTGTTATTCGACGGCCACAGTAGCCATATCAGCGTTCGGATAGTGAATGCTGCACTTAAACACAACATTTCATTACTTAGGAGTCATCTAACAGATAGGATACAATCACTAGATAAATGCGTATTCGGACCTATCAAAATTAAATGGGATATAATCTTGGTTGATCATGGAAAATCTGAAATGGGAAAGTCTTGTGGACGTTTGACCAGACGTAAGAATTGTTAAAAAAAGTTTGGGAACAAGACATGGCCTTCGAAAACATAATTTCAGACTTCGAAACGACTGGAGTTTTTCCAGTTGATTCTCTGAAATTTTTCGAAAAGTATTTTGATCCGAATTTATTGCGGTTGGAACCGTTTTCGTTATTTTGACACAAACATCTCTACTCTAATTTCATTTGTCGTTTATGCCTTGCGTCAAAAGTTCGTATTTCATTTTGATTTGTATCTGTCAACGAATCAGGTTGATTTTAAATTTTAAATTATGTGATGGGTCATCCGATGTACTAAATCATTTTTATCTATCGTATATTCCGTCTGATTTAATAAGGTAAGGTTTAATACCGATATATGGTTGAAAATATATATTTTGTACAAGAATTTCTTAAATGAAATGTAAAATTTTAAACATAACCTCAACACATGAATAACACATGTACGTTTTATATAATTTTATATATTATTTTGTTTGGAATGAGATATTATGCTTTACTATTTTTAAATATGTTGAATAAGATTTTTCCTTTTCATATTAATTTTGGTCCCTGTGAAATTGTTCACTAATAATTTACCTTTCTTAACATTTTTTCCTTTTCCTTTTCCTTTTAGCGTGGCTATATCTAGATGAGTTATATCTAAAACTGTTTATGGAGATTTAAGTTTATGGAGATTTGTATCTAAACAGTTTATTTGGTTTTATATCAAGAAGTTTATTATGGTTTTTATACCGAAGAGTTTTGTGCAATCTGAAGACCTATAGAAGATCGACGCAATATCGTCAAGCCCAGAATTAAGAATAAGAATAAGAATAAGAAGGCCTAGAATTCCATACATCACTCCTTATATACTACCTCCTGTTACAACAGATAAGTTTTCTTTAAATAAATCATCTAAATTTGAATTAAGTAAATCTCTGTGAATTAGAATTTGTTACTACCTTATCTAAAACTTTGTTTAAATATAATATCTTAATGGTTAGTGATTTTCTATATTTTTATCATTAATCTATAGTCAAGTATAGTAAGTTTTAAATATAATGGTGCCCAACTTCTTTTTCAAGGTAATACGAGTTATTTAATAACCTGACCCACTCCCAAAATCAATTGAGCTTAAAACACTATAACAAATAGATAAAATAACAAGTATCACGTTACAAAGTATAGAGAACACCAAAGCACTTCCCGTAACCAAGAACTAGAAAGCATTTCTGATGAATTACCTGGAGCTTCGTCCAGCCAACATGATCAACATTTCTGAGGCATTATCTAGACCCTCGACGAGCCCAAATGACCAGATGAAATCAGATAAACCCATATTGACAAGTGACTCTAATTTACCTGTATCAGAACACCAGGATGCTACCAGAAGAGTTGAGACTGAAAAGAAAAATTCCAAAGACCTTTCTCCCACTGGTATCATTAATCTATTCTTCAAGAAATTGAATGAATGTGTTGAAAATTCTCCAAAAATATCGGGTGGTACTGAGAATAAAAAAGTTATTCCACGATTAAAACAATCTAGATATGGAGAAGTTTTAACGACGGAAGAAGTAATGAACAAGCTCAAAGAAACCGAAGAGAAAAAGAAAGTTAAGCAGACCAAAGGAAAACGAGTAAATATCTGTTTCAAGAAAACAAAAGAAGATAATTTTAAGCAGATGAAGATATCGAAAACAAAGAAGCAGAAACCAAAGAAATATACTGCTTCATCAGATAGTGAGGAAAGTGTTGCTAGCTTAATTCATTTGACAATGATTCTAATGATGACATGCTCCCACTTTCCTCATTTGTTCAACCAAAGCCTGTTAATTATAAAGAAGTCAAATGGGAAGAGATTTAAAATGACAACTTTATATTTAATACTTTTCAATTCAAGACTGGGGGAACGTTACTTTATTAAAACTGTTTACAGTTCCCCTGGTTAATCCTAAAAAGGTTTATCATTTAGTAAAGTAATGCTAATTAAAATTATACAGCTCGGCATAGTCACCTCCAACCTTGAAATCGATTTTACTCAAAACGACATTTTTGGACATACAACATTTGTCCTCTTAGCTATCGATTTTTGCTTTTAGAAGTGATGTGGATCTAAACTCTAAAAATTTACTTACGTAATACTTAAACGCCCCCTATTTATATTGTAATTATTATAATAGGTACCTGTAATACTCTGCTTCAGAATCTGTACCAAAGATGTCCAACACTTGTGAATTTCTAAAACCCAAGATGGCTGCTTCCGAATTCCTTCTCCATGCATCTCTGTAGCGTCTTTCTAACGCTGCATCGTCCATGGGTAGTTTCTTTTGTGAATGTATGGAAGATTCGCTTGAGTTTTCCTCGGAGGTACCAAGTCCAAGATCTTTTTCCATGTCGGAGAAGAGTTTTTGGGTTTGTGGTTTTTTGGTGTATCTGGAAAATAGTCATATTACCATTAAATACTCGTCAGAATAATAAAAATTATAAAACAATAATTTTATTGTAGCAGAGTACGTCTCAGAGATGTTCAATAATATTAAATAAATATTAGGTCTGTTCCAACAACGATCAAAAACCAGGATTCTGCGCAGTAGATTATTGGGACCGCCAAATTATTCACTGCGCAGAGTCCTCGTGTCAGTAACTGGTTTTTGATCATTGTTGGAACGCTCCTATTGTTACATGTTATATATAGATTGTCCCAAAAACATACCAACAAACATATGTCCGCAAATGATCCCTTTTGGACAGGAAAAAGGAAAAATGATGTTCTATAGTTTTGTTCATTTCAGTGATAAATAATCAATGTTAATTTAAAAAATGCTCAGAAGGACTATTAAAATAACTTAAAAATGTTGACCATTTGCTTCAATGCCCAAATTGTACCCCACTAAACATGAAACATTACCAGTCTTTTTTGTAACGTCTCTCATAGAGACTTTTCTTGATATATTTTTGAAACTAATCTAAAATATCCCATAGAAGTTAAAAGTTTAACATTCATTAACATTCCTCGCATATTAAGTTTTATGTACGCTGCAATACTTGAAATAGCAGTTACATAAACATCTTTTGTACTTCTTTTTAGTTACGTCCTGTGACAAACATTTATACGATGTTAATTTTTATAAATCACAATAATATCGCATACAGGTCAGCACAGTAATGTGTACAAGTTACACATCTTTAAGATGGCTATCTTTAGTCTTTACAGCGCAGACCTGGGGCCCTATCCTCGGCTATCGTTTTCTAAAAAACGTATACGCATTAGTAACATACGAGCTATTCGCTATTCTCGACATTCGTTTTAAAAGCGTGTACGCTTTTAAAACGGGTGTTTTACAGCGAGCGGAATTTTTCACACGTTTTTGATAAAACGTGCATGTTTTCAAGGATTTAGTCAATGTCACTTATATGTCACTTTTAGGACAATTAATAATATTGATTGATTTTAACAAATTCTAGGTAAACTACTTTTTATTAATACCCACAAAAATATCTAATTTCTTATAAATATGGTTTGCAGTACTAAAGAAGTCCATTAGCTGAGAATTTCTTTCAATTATATTATCAATAATTGTACAATTAGAAAACTTAGAAGATAAGAATCCTTAAAGATTCAGACTTGCAGAGGCAGAATCCAGTTTTTGATTTTAACTGAAATTGAATGAATATTTTTTATATCTTACCGTGTAAGAATTTAATTATTAATTCATGTATGTTTTATTTACAAATGTTAATTTGCTTGCGGTTCAAAGCTCTTCTGTATCACACGTTGTATCCAGAAATTTTTACAATTTTGTAAAATTGCCACAAAATATTAAAGAACTGAATAAGATAAGCAAAGTTATTATTTAAATGAATTTTTTACCATAAAAACTAGGTTTTGATGACGTACGATTTTCCTAGAATTATAGGTTGCATTAACTGCACCCGTATAGCTATTTTTACGCCAACAATTAACGATTCAGTTTATCCTGAACATCGATATATATTATGTGATTAGAAAAAATCATCGTTCGACAAATTTACAATTGGTTTGTTGTAATTAAATTACATAATCCTTATTCTTTTATGGCCTGCACATTACTTGAATTCAACGATATAGACAGTTTACAGTGATGCCAGACATATTATTTGCTTGTTAAAAACGTACACGTCTTAAAAAACGAATACTCATCGAACGTCGGTCAAGAATATAGATTTCAAAAACTACTCGCTTTTCAACCACTCACTTTCGAAAACGGTTCGTTTTTTTAGCGATTGTCGAGGATAGCCGCCCAGGGGGCCTATCCTCGGCTATCGTTTTCTAAAAAACGTATACGCTTTAGCAACATACAAGCTATTCGCTATTCTCGACATTCGTTTTAAAAGCGTGTACGCTTTTAAAACGGGTGTTTTACAGCGAGCGGAAGTTTTCACACGTTTTTGATAAAACGTGCATGTTTTCAAGGATTTAGTCAATGTCACTTATATGTCACTTTTATGACGATTAATAATATTGATTGATTTTAACAAATTCTAGGTAAACTACTTTTTATTAATACCTACAAAAGTATCTAATTTCTTATAAATATGGTTTGCTGTACTAAAGAAGTAGATTAGCTGAGAATTTCTTTCAATTATATTATCAATAATTGTACAATTAGAAAACTTAGAAGATAAGAATCCTTAAAGATTCAGACTTGCAGAGGCAGAATCCAGTTTTTGATTTTAACTGAAATTGAATGAATATTTTTTATATCTTACCGTGTAAGAATATAATTATTAATTCATGTATGTTTTATTTACAAATGTTAATTTGCTTGCGGTTCAAAGCTCTTCTGTATCACACGTTGCGTCCAGAAATTTTTACAATTTTGTAAAATTGCCACAAAATATTAAAGAACTGAATAAGATAAGCAAAGTTATTAGTTAAATGAATTTTTTACCATAAAAACTAGGTTTTTATGACGTACGATTTTCCTAGAATTATAGGTTGCATTAACTGCACCCGTATAGCTATTTTTACGCCAACAATTAACGATTCAGATTATCCTGAACATCGATATGTGATTAGAAAAAATCATCGTTCGACAAATTTACAATTGGTTTGTTGCAATTAAATTACATAATCCTTATTCTTTTATGGCCTGCACATTACTTGAATTCAACGATATAGACAGTTTACAGTGATGCCAGACATATTATTTGCTTGTTAAAAACGTACACGTCTTAAAAAACGAATACTCATCGAACGTCAGTCAAGAATATAGATTTCAAAAACTACTCGCTTTTCAACCACTCACTTTCAAAAACGGTTCGTTTTTTTAGCGATTGTCGAGGATAGCCGCCCTGGCAGACCTAACAGTTCGTCCCGCGTTCATAGATGGAGATATCAATGATTGCTTGCTACTTACGTAACCGGTAGTACTGTATTTTATGGAGCAGTCTGTTGCCCAATATTAGGTATTTCATCAAAGTTCTTACTTTTACCTATGATATTAATTTAGACAATTGTAAAATTTTCTGGGATTAGAAATTAGAAGTTTAACTACTTGTCTTCTAAGCTTTTAACTTCTAGTTTATTTATTTTTATTCTTTTCTATATAGATGAAAATAAAATATTTATATAACATGGTTTATATAAAATTTATAAGACAAAGATAAAAATAAAAAGGTATGAACTGTTATTATATTTGGAACGTCACATTTGGTTATGATTTTATTTTATGGGCTTTTATAATGACATCTACAAGAAGTAAAAAGACTTTCTTGGATATAACAGGAATTTCACATCTGGTTTATTAAAAAGACATCTTTTTGGGAACTTCCAATAACATTGAATAACGTAACACGGTAGCGCTGTTATATCACCGCAACGTCTACATTGTTTCATCAGAAAAGTAAACGTCCCTACTCTGGGCTTAGACAGTTATGAGTCCGTCCTACAAATGAAAACAAGAGTTAAAATGAGAGTTACAATGTAACAATGTGATGTAAAGTTCTCATTAATTTAACGTTTTTATGCCTAATGGGACCCTTGGTTCACTGACTCGAAGATACTATGGAATATTCTTGGAATAGCTTCTACTTATGTAAAATTGGCCAATATTATTGTTGAGAGATCTTCCTTATCACGAATAAGCGTTTCGTAGACTAAAGATTTCAGATAACTCCAAAAGAAAAATCTAGGTAATGAAATCGGAATACGGGCGGGCCAGTCCACTGAACTACTTCTTCCAATCCATCGATGAGGAAATCGTTGGTTCAAATACTGGCGCATATTCAAACCAAAATGTGGAGGTACCCATCATGCTAAAACCGCATGGTATTTCTAATATCTAAAAGGACATTTACTGATAACAGAGGGAAAACACTTAGGACAAAATCTAGATAAATGTCTACATTCTAAGGAGCAGGCAGCAAGTGAAAACTGAACTATTATATTCTCTCAAACAATACCAGCCCACATGTTTACTGAAAATTGTTGCTGGTGTCTTCTAAAGACCACACCATGAGGATTTTCATCATACCAAATTTGACTGTTTATACTATTAAAATAACTACTGCGCGTGAAAAATGCTCCATCAATAAAGAATACTAATTTTGCGAAGTGAGGGTCTAAGTTGTGATCAAAAAAAACCATTAGCAAAAAGCTAACCTATGTGGATAATCTTCAGGATTTAAAGCTTGTACGCATTGTAAATGGTAGGCTACCGTATGGTATGCAATTGCGCGAACACTTGTGGATTGATTTTCCTTCACAGGGTGTAGTTTTTCTTCTTCAAATTTAACCGTCTTGGATAACCATCAGCACCAGAACGCTTTAGGTTCTCCCTTTATCTGAGGATTCTAAGGCGACGATGGATGGAAACAAAGGTTAAATAAAGAATTTTCTGGCATTCCGCTATATTTGTTCACACAAGTGTGCAGCTTATCTTCAATTACAATTGTTCGCACCATAAGCAAATTCTTAAAATGAGAAATAATCGTCTTTTTTCAACACAAATAATACTACGGTCTTAAAATTGGCAGCTTTTGAATATTTATCATGACAAAGAAATGTTTTGCTCCACAAAAAAATGTAGTTGAAACAAAAAATGTCGAACGAAAGACGACGGTGTTATTTAAAGCGATTTAAAACATTCTAGTGTTCAACAGCCCAAACGACTTATTTGCAGACATGTTTATTAAACAAAAAAAATGTATTTGAATGTCCCATATTTAAATACAGATATAAACGAGATTTAAGTGATCCTTACGCAATAACTTTTATAAATATTTTATCAGTTGAAAATTGGCGTGAAGTATACACATCTACTAATTTTAATGATAAATTTTTTATCTTTTATGAATCATTCCTATACCACTACAATATTGTATTTATGAAAACAAAGAAAGCGATAAAACCACAAAAATTTAAAAATCAGTTTCCACCTCAAATTAAAGAGTTACATAATATATTATGTGAGATGAACAGGTTAAAGAAAGAAATAAATTCTACATATTATACAGAACGTTACAATAATTTAAAAAAAGAATATCAAAAAATAACAAAACAATATTTGAGAAGAAAAAATAATGATCGTATTTTAAAAAGTAATAACGTAATGAAAGAATCCTGGAATATAATAAACGAGAGTAGGGGGAAAAATAAAAAACAACTTATTGAATCCTATTAAACTTACAAGTGATGACAAATTAACACCCTTAGAAAAAGTAAATTATATCAATGACTATTTTATTAATGTAAATAAAAATAATATTATACCTAACTATACTATGAGTATTGATAAACATCATAAAAGTTTTTTTCTTTTTCCAACAACTTCTAGTGAAATCATCACTATAATCAAAAAAACTACTTCTAAACCCACTGAAGGTATTGACGAAATAAATGGTAAAATTCTGTTATTGGTTTGTCATTGTATTGTTGAACCCATATCACAGTTGATTAATGAATCGTTTGTTTCGGGATTATTCCCAAATATGAAGGGATCTAAAGGAATTCCTGTTTATAAAAATAAGGAATTTGCATTTAATATATAAAAAATTATCGTTTAATCTGTATATCTAATCAAATAACTAAAATATTTGAGTCAGCATACTTTATTAGACTCACTAATTACCTTGAAAGTTTTAATATGTTGCCAGATACTCAAAATGGATTTAGAAAAAATAAGTCAACATCTACTGCAATTGCAGCTTGCCTGGAGTTTATATATCAAGCACTCAATAATAAAAAACATATTTTGGGACTCTTCTATGACCTTAGCCGTGCATTTGATATGGTGGATCATAATCTTTTATTATTGAAGATGAATGGGTTAGGAATACGAGGGAAACCTTATAAATGGATACAGTCTTACTTAATAAATCGAACTCAAGTAATTGTAACAAATAGTCTAAAATCTGATCCTCTTCCATGTACAATAGGAGGTCCCCAAGGTTCAATTTTGGGCCCACTTCTTTTTATAGTTTTTATAAGTGATATAAGTAATTTTTGTTTAAGCTCTCAACAAATAGTTCAATATGCCGATTATACCAATATTGTAATGGCAGATGAACAGGTCACTCAAAGTAGCAACGAGGCATCTCGTGAGTTTAACCAGTATTGTAAAGATAACGGTCTGGCATTAAATGTAACAAAAACAAACTTCATGCAATTTCTACCCAAAAACATATTACCAGATTACGAACCCTACTTGCCCGTTGACGGAAAAACTATTCAAAGCGTTGATGACATAAAATTTTTAGGAATAATATTAGATCCCAAATTAAATTGGGAAGCTCATATAAAAATGGTAACTTCAAAATTAAGTACTTGTTGTTATATCATCAAAAATTTAAAACTTTAAAACTATGCTATTTTGGTTTGGTTCATTCATCTCTACAATATGGGTTAATATTTTGGGGTTCTTCACCATACTTTGAAAGAGCTTTTGTATCTCAAAAGAAGGTTCTGAAAGCCATGTATAAGGTGACACCAACAACATCATGTAAAGAACTTTTCAAGAAAACGCAAATTTTAACATTACCTTCCCTTTTTATTTTTCAACTAATTTTATACATAAAAGATAATGAGCATATATTTAAGAAAAAGACCTGCACTCATATGATACTAGATTAAAATTTAACATCCATCAACCTTTTTCACGACTACAAATAAGCCAGCATTCACCAAAATATATTGGGATTAAGTGTTACAATGAGTTCAGTAACATATTAGAAGATACTACAGGTTATCATCAAATTAGTCGTAATGATTTAAGAAAACGTCCTCATGATTTTCTTGTAAATAATGTATTTTATAGTATAGAAGATTTTTTGAACTTTTAAACTAATCTTAACATGAATTGTCTATTATATATATTTTATTTTTTAATGTATTTACTTAACACTTTTTTGACTAGTCTGATAGGATTTTACAATATGTACCTAGTGTCTTTGTATAGTGTATAATTCTCAAAGATTAATAAATTCTATTTCTATTTTATATTTCTACTCCTTAAAGTTTGTCGGTATGTTTTTGGGGTATACCAGATTTTAATTAATAAATCCGTGGTTGACATACCCCCACAATATATTATAAATTTTACTTAAAGGATATTGCACTAAAATACAATATTCAATTGAATTGAGATATCATTAAAACAAAGTAGACTTTGGGTCCCAAGTTGGATCCTTAGTCTTCTATTTTTTATTATTTGGGCTTACCTTTCGATGATTGGTGTATTTGACGGTTTCACTGCTCCTAGATTGTTTCCATTTAGAGTAAATTGAGGATGTGGGATGCAATAAGGATGCGGTAAAGATTTTTCGATTTTGGACAATTTTATGTCATCTTCAGGCGAATATTTCGTACAAGATCCTAAAAGATACGAGAGATTAAAAAATGTGAATTATAATATAAGTGATTTAAACCCAACATATTCGGCTTATCTACAGTAGTCCACTTAATCAGAGGAATATAATCAATTTGGTTTGATAATTTTAGTCTTTGACCATTTTTTTTTTTATGTATTTCATTAGTTATGTTAACTTGCTTTAAAAAGACTTAATTAAATAAAAACAATTTAAAATAGATGATAATTTTATACAGGCTAAAAATTTATAATGGCTGTATTTTATTGTTAAAATTTACCTGGACCAAATAAGGACAAAAGTACCGGCAACAAAAATAATCCGTGCATGGCTCCGCAAAACACGACTAAAAACACCATTTTGAAAAACACGGAAAATATATAATTGTCCGCCAGCAACAGTGCTATCATTCCCAGGATGGTACTAACGGATCCTTGGAATATCGGTAGTCCTAGAGCGTACAAAGAGTCCTTGACCCTTTCATTGGGCGTTCTTGCTTTCGAAGACATGTAGGCATAACAAATATGAGCAGTGAAGTCCACACTGAAACCTAAAAAAGATAAAAATCAGTCAGTGAACTGGCAACCTCGCGGATCTGAGTGCGGTATTTAGATTCAGTTAAGTAGGTGACAAATGACAGAGCGCGGGAATTCTAACCCTAGAGTTCCGAGCATGTCATTATAAATTCACAACACAAGTTTAAGTTATATTGTTTTCTACTTATTTCTTTACATCGATAACCAATTTGTGCTAAAAAAATTAACTTACCTATACACATTATTAAATTTATCATAGATATTGAATCCAGATTGACTCCCCATAAAGCCATATAACCAACAACTCCAGCTTCAATGGAAACAATCGATAGAGCTACCCAGAACGAGCAAAGGATGTTTGGGATGAAAATAAAAGTTACCAACATCATAATACCTGCACCGATTATCATATTTTGGATTGACAACGGCCTCACCAGTTCAAACTAAAAGAAAATTTTAGTATTTTTATGACATTGTACACTTCTTTTATTCTCATTTAGGCAATCCAACGCCCTGTAAAAAATCCAACATGACCGACTATTAAATATATCTATGGAAATAAAATTTTGTTAATGTAAATTTTTCATGTTTGACTGTTTTTTATTAATTTGATAATTATTTAAACGTTAATTTATGAATTTGTATTGTTTGCCAATCGTCTACCATTTTAAGTCACGTGATTTGGATTGCCTAGTAGAAAACATGTTTGTTAACTGATCAATAGTACCATTCTTACCTGATCAAAAAATACGAAATACGGATGAAAAACTGTCGCATTTAGAGGCGAGTCCTTGCAAATTTGTCTCAACGCTCTTACCATTTCTTTTTCATGCTCTGTACCGGATATATTGACAGCTTGAATTAAAAACCTCATGGCGATAATATTTTCGCCGCTTTCATCAAATTTAACGTCCAACGAGAACGAACTACTAGGGGGCAACCATAACTAAAAAATACATTTTACTCTCGTTAGTGATAGTCCACAATCGGACCTTTGAGGTATACTCACTTCTTTTAGGGAATCTATGAAGCCCTCGTTCGTGTCAATGGTAAGATTGAGGTAATCTTGATTCCTTTGCGCATATTGTAGGAAGCTTCTTAACCACGATTCCGTATATAGTGTGTTTGAGATGTAGGAAGTGTTTTCGAAGGTTTGCGTTAGATTTTCGACTTCCGCTTGAATTTTTGGATCCGAGTAATCGTATTGGCCTGATACTATAACTTGTACTCTGAAAAATTAATAGACGTTGTTTAATATAAAAAATATATATCGACATCAAAAATTATCGGTTATTAAAGGTTTAAAGTTCTGGTTATTGATCCGAAAACAATTATCCAAAATACATTTTTCAAAATTACCACTTCCAAATAAGGAAAATACTACAAAAATATTACAAAAAACTACAAAAATACTATAAAAATACTACAAAAATACAACAAAAATATTACAAAAATATTACAAAAATATTACAAAAATACTACAAAAATACTACAAAAATACTACAAAATATTACAAAAATACTTAAAAATACTAAAAAATTCCAAAATATTATAAAAAAAATTAAAAAATACTACTACAATACCAAAAACACCAAAAACACTAAAACCACTACAAAAACCTTACAAAATATAACAAAAATACTATTTAAAAAATACTACAAAAACGTACAAAAATACTAGAAAATACTACAAAATACTATTAAACTACTGAAAAAAAAAAAAAATGCAAAAATACTACAAAAATAAATATAGGATTAAACAGAAAAATAATTACAAGCTTAAATGTGACTAAGATGTAAAATAAATTAAAACAATAATACAATAATACGAGTAACTACTTCCCTTCGGAAAACAACTACTCCTTTGACAAATACCGGAATATGCAATTTAATAAATCTAAAGGAAAACAATTAATAGAAAGATATTTTCTATGCTTTAACAATAATTTTGCTTACTAAAATAAACCTAGGCATGTTTATTCTAAAATTTTTTTTACATATATACATGAGTTCATTGTAAGACACACTCTAGGTATAATAATGCATGATTTTGAGTTTTAATAATAATTTACTAATTGTACCATTTTTTAGGCACAGAGTATTTTTGTCTATGCCGAACATCCTCGTTTGATACTCAACAACAACTACGAGTATGACATTCATATTAAGGAAGCGAACAGAACCAGATGGCGGTGAAAATATCAAAGTAAATCAAAGTACAGCGTCACCCTACATACATCTAGAAATCAAGTGGAAATTAAAAATGCTTAAATTAGAAAAATACTAAACATACTAAAAATACTAAAAAATTCTAAAAATACTAAAAAATACTAAAAAATACTAAAAAATACTAAAAAATACTAAAAAATACTAAAAAATACTAAAAAAATACTAAAAAATACTAAAAAATACTAAAAAATACTAAAAAATACTAAAAAATACTAAAAAATACTAAAAAATACTAAAAAAATACTAAAAAATACTAAAAAATACTAAAAAATACTAAAAAATACTAAAAAATACAAAAAAATACTAAAAAAAATACTAAAAAATACTACAAAAATATTACAAAAATTCTACAAAAATTCTACAAAAATACTACAAAACACTACAAAAATATTTAAAATACTTAAAAATACTCCTTTTTGTTTCAAATATACTACAAACATACTACAAAAACGGTACAAAAATTTTCCAAAAATACTACAACGAATACCACAAAAAACTTCAAGAAACATCAGAAAAACATCAAAAAACATCAGAAAAACATCAAAAAACATCAAAAAACTTCAAAAAACTTCAAAAAACTTCAAAAATCTTTAAAAAAAACTTAAATTTTTTCAAAAATTATATAAACATACTACATAAATACTATAAAATACTACAAAACTATTACAAAAATTCTACAAAAATACCACAAAAATACTAAAAATACTACAAAAATACTACAGAAATACTACAAAAATGCAACAAAAATGCAAGAATACTAGAAAAATCGTGCAAAAATTCTACAAAAATACTACTAGAATACAAAACCATTACAAACATATCACAAAAATACTATAGAACTATTAAAAAACTATTACAAAAATACTAAAAAATACTACAGAAATACTACAAAAATATTGCAAGAATACTAGAAAAATCGTGCAAAAATTCTACAAAAATACTACTAGAATACAAAACCATTACAAACATACCACAAAAATACTATACAACTATTAAAAAACTATTACAAAAATACTAAAAAATACTACAGAAATACTACAAAAATATTGCAAGAATACTAGAAAAATCATACAAAAATACTACTAGAATACAAAACCATTACAAACATACCACAAAATTACTATAGAACTATTAAAAAACTATTAGAAAAATACTACAGAGACAATTTAGAAATATTATAAAAATACAACAAAAATATTATATGAATACTAGAAAAATCATACAAAAATATTACAAAAAAATAATAATGAATACTACAACAATACCACAAGAAGTTTTCCAAAGTACTACATAAATAATATAAAAATAGTACAAACTATTTCGAAAATACTACAAAAATACAAGAACTACTACAAAAATACTACAAAAATACTACAAAAATACTACAAAAATACTACAAAAATACTACAAAAATACTACAAAAATACTACAAAAATACTACAAAAATACTACAAAAATACTATAAAAATACTACAAAAATACTATATAAATACTACAAAAATACTACAAAATTACTACAAGAATACTACAAAAAATACTAGAAAAATCATACAAATATGCTTCAAAAGTACTACAAAATACTACCAGAATACCTTATTAGTATACACCTAGGTGGAAATCCAATATATATTTTTTAAATGATACATATTAAATATTGTATTATTTTTTCAAGATACATTCGTATAAAAATAAATACAGATATAATACAAATGTAGCTAAAATGTAATGTTTTTAGTTAAAAAAAAAATAAATAAAAGTGCATAGTAGTTATAACTATAAATTAACAACAAAAAAGAAAAATCTAACATTATAAATAAGTTGAGAAATATCTGTAACTGTTCACATCACTTAGACCGTAAATGGTCCATTGTGCATCCTCCAGGGGCATATAGAACTTATCAAAACCTGCTGGTTGCCGCTAAGAAGTGTCTACAGAATATGAATACATTTTCTTAAATAAATCTTTTGGTTGCTTTAACGAAACTTTCCCACTAACCCATTAAAATAACAGAGAGATAACACGAGATTTTTACGAAACCAAAAAAAAGTTTTTAAAAAAATGTCCGGATGTACGTATGTATGTGACCAAACTATCCAGCCAATCTCGATGAGCAACTAAGGGAATACTTTTTAAAGGGGGCAATTATTGTTTTTCTTCTTTTTGGTAAATTTTTGTTATTTATGATTGGGGAACAAAATTATTCGGATAAAAGTTTTTCACTATGTCTTTACCTATATTTTTTGTTATAATGTACATGATGTCCCTAAAAGTTTGAATAAGAGTACATTTTTTTTTTTTTTTTGTAAACAATACAGTTCAAACTATCCGCGGGATTTCGATAGGATTTAAAACATAGGGTTTTCGGGGGCCCCTGAAGATTTTGGGTATAATTGGGGGAAGTACTCTCTAATACTTTGTTGGAGGTTGATAGAAAGATGAGGTTAATGGGTGAGATTTGAATCTAATATTGAAATTGCCAATTCAGACTCCAGACATCTAATGTCCTGATGGCCGAGTTGGCAATGCGAACGCGAATCCTATTTCGAGACAGATTTTTAAATAATTTGTTTTCACTCTGAGGGTTTAAAAATAACGTAGATTATTTCGTAAGGGTAATTTTGAAAAATATATTTTAGAATTTCCAAACAATTAATATGAAAGATTAATTTGTTACCTGTACGGAAATTCTCTATAGTAATCATCTTCCCTGTCGAAAAATTCTATAGCGTAAGAATCATTTTTGGCCACTTTCCTCCTTTCTAGGCCCTCTTGGATTTTAGTAATCCCATATCCTGCTCCGACCAAATACAGGGCGAATATAATAATAATTATGAATTTGACGCAACCGTTATTTAGCATGGCACCGAAATAGTCCCTGAAGAACACCATGAAACCGTGCTCGGTGTTGTCTTGTGGATTGTCTATGTCGTTAGGGTCTACTCCTCCGCTGCAGAACCACCGGTAGAGGAAGTTCTTTTTGGCTGAAATAGATAAATAAAATGTATTTAATTTGTGAATTCATTTTTTAAAGTACGTATTATTTATAGTCATTTTCAACAAGTCTACTTTAAAAATAGAATATAGACCTAAAAAAGACGTGGAACATAATCGTTTCATGACTATGATTAACAGGGGCGCATATATGGGAGGGGGGTAATGGGGGTAATTACCCCCCAAGAATGTTTAAACCTAACTTTTTATAGGTACTAAAAATGTATTGCACAAACTATTGAAAGACCAATTGCTTTCGTCGGCTGTCCGCCACTTAAAGCGCCTAACTTAGGTTCTCACTCTACGTTGTACGTGCTTGTATCTCAGAATCTCACTCTTTCTTCGACTAATATTGCTTATATAATTTTGTTTTTATTTTGATTTCTACTAGAAGTACTGGATACTGGATCACCAAAGTGATAGTGATAGTAAAGTGATACACTGTGTTCATGTAAGGGTTTTACTTTACAGGTATTTTTATGAAGTTTAGTAATTTAGATTTAAGTTTATGTGATTATAATATCTAAAATTTACCATTGTTGCAAATTATTTTTGTTCTTGCACTTGCAGCAGATACTAAACACAACAGAAATTTGCAATGAGTAAGAGAAAACAGAATACCTTAGATATTATTATTAATTAATTATTTGTTAAAACCAAAACAAAAAAGGGGAATAATAAGTCGTGGAATCGTCTGAGGAAGCGGGTTCGAGTTCGAGTATGGGTAAACAAACCGCCGAAACTAGCGCCGGTAGCAGCAGTGACCACAGCGTTGCCACATTTAATATTTTACATGGTTATAAAAAATCGATAGACATTGCCCCTTTTGTCAATACATCTAAAATAATTGCATTGTCGGAAAAATATTCGGTTTTAATGTACTCTATGATTCCGGATCAAAATTTTACGTACCCGTTTTCAATTCACAGAAAAAATGATAAATATATTAAATGCTTTTTATTAAAACGACATTTTGACACTTTTTCTTGGCTAACGTATTCGCAAAGTCTAGAGGGTATATTTTGTAAATTTTGCGTTATTTTTTCAAAAGTGGGTGGTGTACATCAGTCAACTAAGTTGTAACGATAATAAATTACCGTTACTAAAGCTACGCCACTGGTTTCCCAAACATACCTCGAAGCGACGACCCAGCGAGTCGAGCGTTCCCTTCCCCTTCCACTTCAATAAGCGAGAGAGAGGGTATCTCTTGTCCCTTGTGGCAGTTCCATTCGGCGAGCTGAGCTGGAAAGAACTCTCTACCTCCCCCGAGTAGTACGTGCTGAGTACCTCTCGTTTCCTGACTCCTCCTGGCAAACGTGTTGAGTATACCGATTTTCTGATAGACGCGTTGAGTCTATATTCCTGGTAGACGTGTTGAGTCTATTCTCCTGATAGACGTGTTGAGACTATTCTCCTGATAGACGTGTTGAGTTTATTCTCCTGATAGATGTGTTGAGTCTATTTCCCAGTCACAGACGCGTTGAGTCTGTTTCCACGTAGACAGGGCCGCCGAGAGCCAGGCCGGGCCCCAGGACAATTCTCTAAATCGGGCCCCGTGACAAAAAACAGCTCTTCAAACAAAAACTTTTCCTCTTCTAGTTGAATTGAGTTTCTTAAAAAATCCTCAATTCTTCCTCTGCTTCAATTGTTTTTTCTAAAAAACCCCATCTCGTCTTGTGTCGAATTTCTCATACAAAACGAAAAAAATTCAGTTGTCGGGCTCCCTTTATACCGCTGTCAGGACCCCATTTTAGTCCGGGCCCCGGGAATTAGTCTCGGCTACCCCCCCTCTAGTCGGCCCTGCACGTAGAAGACGCGTTGAGTCTTCGACGTAAAGTCCGTACCCGATTAACATTTTATTTTCAGAAAGCCCGTGCAATACACCGTCGCTTCCCAGCAGAGGCACTTTACAGCGAACCAACTCGTCGAGGGACCAGCCCCAGTATATATACCAATACAGTAGCAACAGATCATTTTTTATGAGGGGTCCATATTTTTCTGCGCATGTCCGAAAATAAGCGACAAAAACGTCAACGTCAATAGTGTCAATGCGATGTAAATGTAAATAATGTAAATATGTCATTATTTTTGTTTGTTTGCAGTGCATATTTTGAGACATTTTTATTATTTTAGTTTTTCATTTATTGTGTGATATTTTTGAAATGGCTTCTGCACCTGATCAGAAAAGAAAGAGATGTGTCTATCGCCCTTGTCCATCTCAAACAGAGTAAACAGACAAAGGGAAAAGTTATTTTGCATTTCCCATGGAGCCAGAAAGGTATGTCTTAAGAAAATACTTTCAATTTTTACTTTCCTATCTGTATACAGATATAAGGAAAGTATAGGAATCATGATTTTTTTCGACTTCGAGTTTTCGACGGATTTTTACGTTTTGTGGTCCCCTGAATCCGTTTTGACTATTTTCGCGATGATGTCTGTGTGTGTGTGTGTGTGTGTGTGTCTGTGTGTGTGTGTGTGTGTGTGTGTGTGTCTGTATAACGCATAACTCATGAACCGATACACAGAAAAACACCAAATTTTAAACTTAAGCTTCGTTTCAGCGTCCAATGAGCTGATTAGATTTTGGGCAGAGTCAGAACATCTGGGGGGGTACTTTATGGGTGGTCATTTTTATATTATATGGAATATATCTGTTATTTACGTTTGGAGAAGAAAATTCTTCAAATAAAAGTTACTTCTAATATAATTATCTATAATTTTTGTTTTATACAAAATTTTCCTAAAATGGTCCGTATTCGAGAAATTTGACAAAATGTAAAAAAAATTATTTTTTATAAAAATTGTTCAAATAAAAGTTGTTTGTAATATAATTCTCTATAATTTTTGGCCTATACATAATTTCTCTAAAATGGACCGTATTCGAGATATTTGAGAAAATGTGTAAATTTCGAAATTTGAAGAAAACTCAAAAACGGATAGAGGGAAAAACATTAAATTTTAACCTTAAGGTTTATTTCGGCCTGACGTGAAATGATTAGATTTTGGACAAAGTCGGAACATCTGGGGGGGTACTTTATGGGAGGCCGTTTTTATATTTTATGGAATATATCTGTTATTTATGTTTGGAGAAAAAAATTGTTCAAATAGAAGTTACTTCTAATATTATTTTTATTATTTTTGCTTTATGTAAAAATTTCCTGAAATGGTCCTATTCGAAAAATTTGACAAAATGTGCAAAATTCTGATTTTTATGAAAATTGTTGAAATAAAAGTTGTTTGCGATATCCATCTCTATAATATTTGTTCATACATGATTTTTTTAAAATGGACCGTAATGGAAAAATTGTAGGAAAAGTGCTAAATTTAAATTTTTCAGTATTTTCATTTTCAATGAATATCTATAGAAAAATGTTTCGCGGTAGATGTATGTGGACAATGTATATATTTAGTTTATCCTCTAAACATTTATAGAGATGCTGCAATAGGTTGTACAAAATAACCGGAAAAAGCCTGTAATAACTAGATAGGAAAGTCATGTGTTGGACACATCAGATTTTTATATTTGAAAACCAAATATTTATTTGACAACCAAATATTTATTATTTAAATGTCTGGAGGACAATTTTTACAATTTCAACAAAAATAATGTAAAAAATATATAATTTCTGAATTACCGTCAATCTAAACATTTGTTATCAACTTTTTTATATTTTAGGGCCAACATGTGGTTAAGAGCTTGTAATAGGGAAGATTTGAGTAACATAGATGTGAACAGTCTTCATCGGAATTACAGGTTGTGTGAGAAACATTTTGAGAAGAATTGTTTTTCTAAAACGTTGAACCGTAAACGTTTATTGCCTACTGCTGTTCCCACATTTTTTATCCATCTAGGTCATCAGCCAAATGTCTATCTTCTCCCTAATACATCGACCAAGTGCTTCCTCTGTTGAGACTATCATTAAACATGAACGAGACATTTTTGAAAGCATACCATGTGCAACCTTTGGACATTCTTAATCAAAAATCCTACCTCCAAATTATTATAATGAATTAGATGTTCTTTGATTCACTATGTCCATTGATTAAAAATGTTCTGATTGACTACATCTAATCAAAATATATATGTATTTCTTGTAAAGTAGCAAAAAGAAAAAAAAAATGTATTTTGTGGTGTTATTATTTTAACTGTTTTTTAATTTTTGATTTGTTTCATTTATACAATATTTAAGCACTTAAACAATAATATATATAAACTTATAAATAGTTGTATGATATATATACGTTAGGGAAATTAGGATTTCTTTCATAATATCAAAAAAAGCTATGCGATATACCAGACATTACACAGGTATTGCTAAAAATAGATATAACATTTTTTTATAATTTAAATATATAGATAATAAACTTTTCATTTGGAGTTTTTAGGCCTCCATAAGTGCTTTATTTGCAATCATATGTTAAAATCTGTGAACTATCCAAATCTTCACATTCTTTTGAAAATATAATAAATGTATTACATCCATGTATGCCTAAAGCTTTTTTGATCAAATAGCCACAAACATATTTAAATGGATTTTGAACTATTATATCTTCTGTCCTGTAGCTGTAATTAGGAAGAAACACAGCTTCTTGAGTGTTTTTATTTATTTCAGGATACAGAGAGACAATATTTTTTACATCTAATTGTAGCAAGTGTTTGTCCAGGTCTTCATTACAATTCATGGAATTGCAATGAAGATAATTTTGACAAAAAAGTTTTTTAAATGCCCTTTCGAATTGTACAGGTGTTGGATTAATTAAATTCCCACCCTGTTGCCTAATGGACCCAACAAATTTTTCTAGACAGTCACTGTTGATTCTTCTAGCCATTAAATATTTAAATCCCGCAGCAGATAACCTTTCCCATACAAATTTTAAACCATAAAATCGTTAAATATAAACATCTAATTTTTATGATGTGACGTTAATAGTATTTAATTATATACATAGGTAATATAAGCAATTGGGCAGCATTGTGCTTAACGGGTGA